AACCTCAATGGTTCACGTTCGTAGCCTCAACAAAATCACAGGTCTGTCAGTGACCGGAACAGTGCCGTGTCAACGTCCGCACACCAAACAACGGCGAGCGGAATGATGGCTCAGTAGCGTGGGTTGCGTTCGCCCCTTCCGACGACGGCTTTGTGATTCCAATTGGACGTGCGGTTACAGGAACTCATGGGAAAACAGGTCAAAGCAGGCTCAGCAAACGGGGCATGGTTAGGTGGGTCTGCAGTGCACATTCACACACAGATAAACAAGTGCCGGACAGGGCGACACCTGTAGCAAGGTGAGTGGCGTGTACGGATAAGCAAAACAACTGGAGATTAAAAGTACGTAGGCGGAGTGAGCAAATGAATGGGAGAATTATCATAAGGTCAAATCAGGTTCAACAGTAGCCTGATAAAATCGACGGCTAGATACTCCTATTCAAAACTCATAACCATCAGACACTCAACCGCAGTAGCAATCTAAAAAACAAGAGAAAACCCTCTGGGCTTGGCCCAGAGAGGTCGTTCATGTCGAGGTATTGAAACCCATCTTCACTTCCGAAAACGTGTCGACTGCATCCAAATAAATGAGCTAGTAAAATAACCAACTGTAAGATCTAGCTGTCTCAGATAATGATGATGATCTAGCCGGAGACTCAAAGGACACATTCTTCAGTGGGAATGCCCGGTTCACAGAGGAGGATGGCTATAGCTATTGCTATTACCTCACGGATTTACCGACACCGACCCACCAGACAATCGTTATCAAACACCTGAAAACACCTTGGTTCCGCTTCTCAAACAGGCCAGGTCTCACGGCCAGGCAACACAACAGCCTATAGTGTGACCTGATAAACACGTTACTTGATGTACCTCCTTGACACCATAGGTGTTTCAAATAAGCAAACGCGACCCAAGCAATGTAGATTTGTTCACTGGCCTCGTCCGTCACACTACAATCAAAACTAATAAAACTTTGGATGTAGATAAAACGCTGCACCACAGCCTCTCTCTGACGGGATAGGAAAAATGCCTGCGATCTTATATAGGCTTTGTTCTACCTCTGAGGATTCCCTCGGCCAGCCAAAAACATCACCCTCTCCATAGAATCCGAGCCTAACCACCTCAAAAATGACGACCTTTACAAGGCTGTCCAGAAACCGAATTATTTCAGTTCAATGATGGCATGGCACTGCTATACCCGGTTTGGTACCACACCCGCGACTATGCCCCAACTTCTCTCGACTGTATCCTATCGCCCAATTGTTACATTACCTGCAACTGAAAACAAACTCTTACTTGATTCCGACTGTAACCCTATGATCACGCCTGACTGTACTCAATCCACCATTTAGGAATAAACTTCATTATGATAACGTGAGACTTTGTGGGTACAAAGGGCGCACCAAAGGACAGGATGACTTTGGCGGCTCATCCAAAAACAGATGTGCTTTTTCCTACTCTTCAAAGGTGGAAACGTGTGCGTACTTCAAGTCGAGAAGGTTTTCGCCAGAAGATATTTAAAACTGGGTTCAGAAAACATTTTAGGATTCATCTTATTACCTCATCGCTCATATAACTTAGTGGAAATAGAGAGAGGGCGCTCTCGACGGGCACCGGTTTGTGTGCGGAAGCTTTTGGAGCCCCCACATCTTTCCGTGACATATCCACCCTTTCCACTCCTCCCTTCCACGGCGATGCAAAAGACTGCACGTAGTTAGGTATTGTGACAACTTCTGACTGTCTGCTATATTTGGTGGTATTCTAACTCACACCAGAGTGCTTTCGAGTAAACCTTTGGCTGCAAAAATGTGAGAGCAGATTGGGATGATTTTTCCAATGAGCATACAAGCAGCAGCATTTTACCACAAAATTTTTTGTTCCAGTCGAAAAGTTTTGCAACTAACTGCACTGTGCGGCTTATGGGCCCCGGCGCAGCATACTTCGAGAGTTTAAATAAGGTATTTCGAGAAGACCGGGATTGGTTGACGATAGATTTTGTAGCGCGTGCAGCAAAGAGAGAGGCGAGGCGAATTTCATTTCCTATTTTTTTTAACAGCGCAAACCGAATTCATGTGCGATTAAACTAACAGTATGACCTCTAACGAAGTGGTTCACGCAGCCGTCACCCCTTGCTAGTTAGTGGGCTCTGGGATAAAGGCACAACGCTAATCCTACATTGGCTATCCTGCAGGGAGCCGACGATTTCTGGTGAGCTGAACCCCCGGTGAATTTTGGCCAAAACCTGGCCAGCTGCTGGTTTTCACAGCATGGTATACGTTTCACGTCAAAGTCAACGACGGGCATTCTGCGAAAATGAGCACTTTCAATGAGGGACGAGGAAGCGGTTATGAGCCACCAGCTTTTCAAAAATTAAGTAAACGCAATACCTTGCTTGCAGATATATTTTCATTGGAATGGTCGAATTGTGTTAGATATCAATGCCATGAAGGAATAAGGCTGGATCCAGTGAGGTTAGAACGATTTTGAACCTATCCTCACCTGAAAGCAGCCCGTCATATCAGACAGCGATGCAGCGCCCGGTCTCTTTTTCACTTTTATCATGATGGATCGCATCAGTCGGTATGGATTCCTTTTTAAAAGGTTTCGAAATAGCTCAAACTTGAGATTTTTGTCGTCAGCGTCTGACAAAGGCGAGGCGTAATCTGCCAACTTAATGATAATGATCCCTGCTTTCGGACCAGCCGATTTCGGTCCACGGTTGACCGTTCTTTTTTGCATGGATCGCGCTGTTTGGCACACGTTCATGAGTACTATTCCCACGGAGTTTCGGATACTCTATGGGGCCTACATCAGACCACGTCTTGGAAACGCCTTTTGAGTTACATACTTCGGGTGCGAGAAGGACCTAAGCTCATTGGGCACATCAAACAAGCTGCTTCGATGATGATTCGTTGATGGTGAAACGCGATAGCCGATATTCTAAGTTTTTCATTCAGACTTCTGTAGGCTGATTTTTACCCATTCTTACACAAGGTTTGGCCAATAGTTTATTGCAGTTAACCCAACTACTAGACTGTCGGAGGGTTGGAGGAGTATTACCACTATTAAGGAGCGCGCTTCTGGCAGACGACAGGTTTTCTGCTTTCATTTAGTTTACGCCTTAAGCGATTTTTTCCAGGCCGGTTCTTCGTAGTCCACTTAATCTCCCGACGCATATTTATGTGATTCATTGAGGTGGCAGTATTACTAAACGTCGTTGAGAACAGTGAACGATGCTCCATTCTTTCACAGTTGTGCTCTTCAAGTGAGCGGAAGCCGCGGAACCATGAGAACAAACATCGGCCGCTCACCAGGTCCGACCTTGAGAGTTTTATTGAATCAGTGTCAGGAAAGCCTTCCCGCGGCGCAACAAGCAAAGTTGGTTTGTTTTCTTTACCGAGCCTTCCCCGGTAGATTTAGATTGTTTTGTCTAGGCTTCGGTTCTTGTCGCCAAGTTTCAGTGTTTCTGCTTCTAGGCTGGTTCTGTTGACTGAGCGGATAATACAATCTCGCCTACGTTTGTCCTTGTCTGAACCTTTCGCATACTGTGAGTGGTAATGGGAGCAATATAAAGTTAAGACGAGTGGTTTAGAGGGACTAATTATTGTTTCAAATTTAAATTCATCTATGATTTTCTTCACACCTGCCTTCACTATATCCTATTGATTTCTAATTGATTTCGTCCCGTCAGATAAATGTTTGAGAATTACGGTTGATTGAAAATTTTAGGGGTTTTGAGGAGCTGTACGTTTAGGGCCACCCGTTCTTGCCACCAAAAATCCATCGCTGCTGGAGGTATTAGCCCAGAAATTGAAACAGCGGAAATTTTTGCTTGTCTAAACCCGTGGATGAACTTCGGGGGACCCAAAATATCCGAGTACTTTTCACATGGAGCATGAACAATATAATCTCGAAGACGTCTGTGATAATGGCTAGTGAGCAGTGAGGCGACCGATATGACTGTACTAAAATAGGGAATTTGCCCCGGATATCATGTGGTTCTGGGAACACATACACTGTTGACTAGTTTTCGAAGTTTGACAAGTTTGACAGGAGGTCTCAGCACAGACAGCATTAGTTCAGGGATTTGCAACTCAGGCTGTATGAATGACAGGCACTCGAATCGGATTCGTCGGTTCGCGGCGGGCAAACCTCCGGACCCTTACACCATGGAGAGCCGCAACTAATCGGCGATAAGCCGATTGCGGTGCTACATGCAAACTTTTGGCATTGATCTGAACGCGAGAAAACGAGACGGACGGGCGAACCTGTAGAGACAGCTAAGTCACTCGGCCGGAACTTGCCTGCGTGCAAGTGGACACCGGCACTACTTACATGCCTACCATCGAGGTACCAGCGTCATTGTTCAACTCACAGCGTAATACCACCGACTAGCATAACACCGTGCAACCGCCACGAAGAGACTGTACCCTACTGTGGGGTGGCTGTTTGTGCACCTCAGTGACCCATCGAGCTATACTGGGGGTGTCCCCGCGACACACAGTCTTTCATGACAAGTTGGTCAATGGTTAGAGGTCTGACTAACACAGTCTCCTGGTTCTCCAGGTTGGGGGTTGGACCGTGTGGCGACTTGTTCCGTTAAAATTCTGATGCATTTGCATATAATGACAAACACCGCTGCCTTGCGGTTAGGCTTTTGAACCAAATACTTTGGTTGAGGACCCTAATCGTCCTCGTGTCCAGGTGTGGGTGCCCTAACAGTATCCCAGCCCACGTACAACCATGAGATTCACATATACAAATGAAATGCTACATCGGCCGTCAAGTGGTGCCATCGGCCGGGTCGCCTTACTGGCTGGATAGAGCAGGGTGGGTATGCAAATAAAGCTACTGCTGACGCCTCCCTTCTTTCTCTTTCACATACTCTTTCTTCCCCATCCCCACCCCAATAATAACTCCTTGTAGGCCCAGCATTTAGGACACCGTTCGTCGTGCATCGGTTTTGAGCGCAGCATGGCGCCGACATCTCAGAAACAGGAGTTCAAGATGCAAGCACTGTGACTGAGCTAACCGCCCCATCAGTCTCCACTCGCTTCCGGCTACACACATCTGGTGATCCAGAGACTGCTGCTGCGGGATGTGCAGGAGATGGTGTCGTCCTAAGTCACCGGGCGGAAGTATCCTTGCTTGACTGGATACCTGCTGATAGTCGCCTCTGTGCGGTTCGTCTGGCGACGTCTGTGAAGGAGTCTCACAAGCGGAAAGTCGACGTATGTCTGTTTATCGTGTATGCCCACGCCCCAACTGACTGTAGCCCAGACGCCTTCAAAGACAGGTTTTATGACAAACTGAATGCCCTTTTACGGCGAGCTAAAAGCTTACACATCGTGATGGTTGCTGGCGATTTGAATGCACAAGTGGACAAGCTTAGCGTACCTGAGGCTCACTTAGTTCGATATCGATTGGACACGGTCGATACGTACAAAGGGGAACGATTGCTTCAGTTGTGTGGTGATCGCAGGCTGTTTTTATGCAGTACTAACTTCCTAAACAGCCGAAGTCGTTTGGCCACATGGTGTCTTCCAACGGCATGCCGACCACGAACTCAAACCGACAGGATTCCCATCAGTTGCCGATGGCGCGAATCAATAACTGACTGCCGGTCGTTTTGGAACACATCTATGGATTCTGGCCACGCTCTCGTCTGAAGTCGCTTCTGTCTACGTAAGGCGAGAACGATTCGCTTGGCAATTGAAAGATTGGCATATATGGATGTTAGGCGAACTTACCAGAATCGTCTTTTAGAGTCTCTTCCAAAGGTTCCACCGTCAGATGTGAACTCATATTGGGACGGGATTGACACCTCTTTGCATAGTCCCAGGAATGTTACCTCTGGTACAGCACCATAAGGCTCGCTTAAGCGCTGGGTATCAAATCGAACGGTGGTACTGCTTAAATTTCGGGAAAATATCCAAGCCGGTCCCGAACATTACTTGACGCGATGATTGATCACACACCAAGTGAAGATGAGCGTGCAAACCGACCATGAATTTTGGTGGACACCTAGAGCTAAAGAAATGGAAGACACTCAGAAAGGCGGTAATGCCCGAAGGTATTTCAGTTGATCCTTGCTACCGGTCTCCCGAAACCACCTGTGAAGGGAACCATCAAGGATCAGAATGGAGTGAACATCTGGGATAAAGAAAAAAGCCTCGACCGCTGGGCCGAATACTTCTAACAACAATAGTCATGGCCACCAGCTTACACCCATCTTGTATCCACAGGTGATGTAGAACCCTGGACGGTGAACGTGGAATCGCCTACGGTCTCGGAGGTTTGTGACTGCATATGTTCTCTTAAACGCCACCGAGTATGTGGTCCGAATAAGGGTGAAGTCCTCAGTCAGCACTTGTCTAATCTGTATTCTTGCATTTGAGAAAAGGAATCTGTCTCAGATAACTAATGACAGTCGATGATAGTATCCACTGTCAAAAAAAGGGGATCGTAGCGAGTGTTAGTTTGACGCTTGTTGTGACAAGGCCTCTGGCGTCACTGATTCTTCGTCGTCTTGCGGCGACACGCGATGCCTTGACTCGGGAGGATCAAGGGGGATTTCAACCGTGTAGAAGCTGCACTGACCACGTCTTCACAGTCCGTCAGGTGTTAGAGCAACGCCACATGTCCAGACGACCCACAATGCTGGTATTCCTTGACCTTGAGAGTGCGTTTGATTCTGTCGATCGATCAGTGCTCAACAGGGTATGTCCCAGAAACTTGTAAACATTATCCGATCCCTGTATTCACTTACTTCTGCGCGGATAAGCGTGTGTGGTGAGCCCTCCAAAAGCTTCCCTACAAAACTTGTCAGACAAGAATGTCCACTCTCTCCATTCTTGTTTATTGATGAAATAATTAGACGTACACTGGACGGTCTTCAAAACCCGGTGTTCAAGCTGTTGCTGGTGAGTTGGAGTACGCAAATGACGTTGCCTTCATCCTTGAAGACCAAGGCGAAGCACAAGCTCTGTTGAATAAACTGACCACCGTCACGCCATCTTTTGGCATGCATCTTGCATCATGCTTCAATCATGCTTCAGAACGTGCCATATGCTAACATATCCCTTACAATCACTGGAGATTGTGGAAAACTTCACATACCTTGGTAGTTGTATTAGCTCTGACATAAGTGTGTCTGATGAAGTCAGTGCAAGATTCCCACTTGTGGCGTCGGAAAGGCATCTCACTGGATCTTGAGGGTCGTGTGTACCAGGCTACAGTAAGGGCTGTGTTGTTGTATGAGTACGACACACAGCCTCTGCGGACAGATGATGTGAGGCGTCTTCAGGTTTTCGACCACCGATGCCACAGAAGCGTCGCTGGCTTTGGGTGGCGTTAGCATATTAGTAACGAGGTGATTAGAAAACGGGTATTTGGTTGTGCGGCAGGTACTTCAATCCGAGAAAACATCCAGGATCATCGACTACGATGGCTGGGTCATGTGCTACGCATGCCGAAACACCGACCACCGAGACGCTTGTTGTTCTCCGTGCTCCCCTCAGGGCGGCGCAAACCGCAAAGTGGACAGCACATGACTTGGCAGAAAGGCGTGAAAGAGATCACGAAGAGTTTGGGTGTTGTTGGTGTTGTACGTCTTCCAGGATGGGGTCCCCGTGACCCCGTCTGTGTTTGACTGGAGACGTTGCAAGAAATGGCGGCTGATTGATGTCAGTGACGTTCGTGCTGTCAGTTTTAGGAACGTTTGACTGAGCGGTTGGGGGTGTATTTACCTCAGAATGCTTGACATAGGCCAGCGCTAGGTTCCCTTACCCACTCTTTTTATCTTCACTCCAAGACTTAATATAATTATATATATATATATAACGAGACGACCCTTATGGCTGTACGGCAATGATGCATCAGTGCCAACATTGATGTGCCCTGAGCAGCAAGCGGGATTCAGGCCTAGTATGGGTTGCGTTGACCAAATCTTCACACTTCGTCAGGTGCTAGAACAACGCCATGCGTATAAGCGACCGACAATTCTACTGTTCCTGAATTTCCAAGGCGCATTTGACTCGGTTGACCGGTCTGTTCTGCTTGACACGCTTTCGCGTTAAGGAATGCCGCGGAAGTTCGTGAACATAATAAGCTCTTTGTATTCCCAGACTTCCGGACGTGTGAGAGTATATGTCGAGCTCTCCAAAAGTTTCCGTACACAAAGTGGTGTCCATCAGAGATGCTCACTCTCCCCATTCCTGTTTAACTTCGTGATCGATGAAATCATGAGACGAACGCTGGATGGTCTACAAAACCCCGGTGTTGAAATAGTCTGTGATGAATACCTTGTTGTTCTGGAATATGCAGACGACATCGTTCTCATGTTCGAAGAGGAGGAAAAGGCGCAAGTATTCTTGGATGAACTGACCAAAGTCATCCCGTCCTTTGGTATGCACTTTGCACCCTTAGTGTAAGGTCATGCCCTTGGGCATGCAGTCACTCAACACACTACTTACAATCCAGGAAGAGTTTTTCGAATTGGTGGGGCGTTTTACGTACCTTAAGAGTTTTATCAGTTCTGATTGAAGTATGATAGATAAGGTCGCTGCACGAATCTGCAAGGCTCGGATCGCGTTTGCTAATTTGAGACACCTATGGCGTCAAAGTAGTGTGTCCCTAAATCTCAAGGGACGTGCGTATCAGGCCACAGTGCGGGTTGTTTTTGTTGTATGACTGAGACTTGGCCTGTTCGAGCAGCGGAATTGAGACTTCTTCGGGTGTTCCATAATCATCTCAGAACCATAGCTCGTATGGATTGGTGTCAATTAGAAGGCGAGTTTTTAGTTGCCCACCGGGATCTTCAATTTTAAATCTGTCCAGCACTAGGAGCTGCGTTGGTCATATATTGCATACACCGATCCCTCGTTTGCCGAAGATAGTGCTGTTTCCATGCTCTATTCAGAGTGGTGGAAGCGGAAAGGTGGCCAACCCTTGAGCTAGCAGGGGGGGCATGAAAGTGATTCTTCGGTTTCTGTCGGTGCTACACGTTTTCCAGAACAGGGTCTGCGGGATCCTCACTGCGCCTCGTAGGAGATGTTGCAAGATACGGCTGCTAATCGATGGCCTTCTTGTTGTCAGTTTCTATCCAGATTACCTGAGTAAGTGTCTGGAGTTGTAGGCACTTGGGAATGATTTTAGTAAGCTAGTGCTGAGTTCCTTCCCTGTCTATCTTCATTCTTTCCTCCACAATGTTACTCACATAAGTCCTGGTTGTACAGCAGCGAAGTATCAGTGGTGAACACTGATGTCGTGCTCCCCACAATGATAGTAGTGATTATGACAGAACGAAAAATCCTCACTAAAATGTGAGAAGGCATCAGCGCCGAACGGTCTCTATCCAGCCCTTTACAAGAATGCGGATAATCCCCGATGAGCCATCTGACAAGGCGTATTGCTGCGATATAGAGTGAAGAGTGTCCGCAGAAAGGGGTTTGTCAACAGTTATTCCTATCTTAAAAAGGCATGCGGACGCTGTGTGGAAACCATCATGGCTTCAGCCTAGTAGTTGTGACATCCAACATGCTTTCTGGTCTTCGAAGGTTGCCTGAACATGATGAAAGACAGATCTGTAAAAACTAGGCTGGGTTCCATCCTGCAATTCATCCTCACCCTTCGACAGATTCTGGAACAGCGACACTGCTTCCAGAAAGCAGCGATGGTGTTCTTCCTTGACTCGGAAGCTGCCTTTGACTCTGTAGAACGTCAGACACTAGCAGTGTCCGTAGAGCAAAGGTGTCCCCCATAAATTATTGACCCTCCTTAGGGCACTGTACGTCAACTCCAGCGGACGTCTGAAGGTCTACGCGAAGCTCTCGCCTTAGTTCACTGAAAGAACTGGTGTCGGAAAGGCTGTACTCTTTTACCTCTCCCGTGCATTGGTACGTTATTAATATGATTATGGAAGACTCACTTCCAGCCTCTAATGCCTGTGGGGCCAAAGTACTCCCGAAGCGTAGGCTCACAGATGTCTATTACGCAGGCGACATTTCTCTCCATGGATCTGAACCCATGGTAATAATTCTGCTTCATGGTTTGGCATGCGCTTCGCATCTGCAGAGTATAAAGTGCTGCCACAAGACAGAGGGCTCTAAACCTAACCTAATGGTTGTGGATGAGCCAACAAAGGTAGCAGGCAAATATGTCTATCTCGGCAACTATGTCAGTCCCGTTGGTCTCGCGAACAATATTTCAATCTGGATCGGGAAGACCAGAGCAACTCTCGTGAACCTGCATCATCTGTGCTGAAGGCGTGACGTCAGCTTATTCGCCAAGGGTAGTGTTTACGATACTGCGGTACGCTCCATATTACTGTCCGGGTCAGAAACCTGGCCGCTGTGTGTCAAGGAAGTCACGAGTCTTTCAATGCTTATCATAGATGTCTTCGGACCATTGCCTGAGTCTGGTGGAATATAGGATCAGTAATGCTGAAGTACGTCGACCACTCGACCGAATTCTTCGAAAGGTTTTTTCCGCACAACCACGTGAAGGATGGAAACGAGCCTGGGGAGGTGAGCCAGTGACTTGGCAATGAAGTTTGGAAGCAATTACCAGAAAACTCAGCTGCGCCGATCGTTGCCATCTCCATGGATGGGGACTCCTAGACGGGATACACCAGTTGTTAGGGAAATTATCAGACATGGCCCGGTCGCACCCTCAGTGGTGCTCATGCATCCAAGCTATTGCCTTCAATACGTAGCTCCCCTCCCAATCTCCTCGATGAAAAGTCGATTGACAACCAGGTATTTACACACCAATTAGGTCAGCTACCGCTTCCAATACGCAGCTATCTATCCCAACTCCCCAACTAATCGGTTAAGGAAACTTTGACAGCTATAACTTTTGTACGACAAGTACGCTGCTGCTGTTGTTTTTTTTGTGTGGCTAGTACGTTCTGCGGGCATGTGTACAAGTGGGACTAGTCCAGATCTTTAGGAATAAAGATTTCCGTTTACTGCTGCAGTCGCCAGGCTTAACGATCTGAACACAATATCCATTCAGCTCCAGCTAACCCATGTAATTACAACTCCAGCTCATTCGGTAGCTGTGGCACAATGCCTAGTAGGTGCTGGGATCGCTTAGATCAGTCCATCTAGTGCTTCTGTTTTGAGTGAATAGGTCCCCATAGATTCCAGATTCCGTGTTGTGAGAATCAGTTTCTCGTTGAAAACTCTATCAGTCGGTCTTGACGTTGTCTCCACCCACACTTCGCTCAGCATCATCTCCAATTCCGTAAAAGACCTTGATTGCCAGAAACTACCAGTCTATGGAAACGAAAAAGGCCTTCACAAAGACCGTCGTTAATTACTTTTTAATTCCAGCAATGTTCGGACGTTTCCATTAAGCGTTTTCACTAGACATTTCAGGTTTTCTTTCAATGTTTCCCTCGCTTTTGCCCTTCCTTCCCAGTCGATGTATTATTTCTTCTGTGGGGTACAACAGCTAAGTATGCCTGCGGTGACTTTCTGGTTTCGTTAATTTGTTCCTGTCCGTGTTGTGATAGATTGTACCATGACAAGCGCAGTGGCTTCCCTGATACCTCACGAGATATTCTTTCACTTCATCCTCGGGGGAATTCAGGGTAGTTTGTCAGAAGGTCCCAAAGGTGTAGGCCACTGATAGGAAGTTCGTGTGAAGCCGAATTAGAATATTTCAGAAGCCCCACTGGGAGCTACTGACCATTGTATCCTTGGTACGAACCGAACCCTGGTTCCCTTGTTTAGGTTGGAGCGACATGGTAGCACACTAACTTGCGCGTCAGCTTGGATGACCATTCTGCATGGTTCCGTGACTGAGCGACTTAGCACATTAAACATGAACGGCGGTGCATTCAGTAGTGATTTTGGTGATGACGTCCTGTCGGATTATGTCAACGGCACTGTTTAGTAACGACCGATTTTGCTTCGCTAATTCTTGGCCCAACTACTGGTACCCGCAGAAATCTAGACACTCATTTTTCCTACCTATTTCAGCTTTTCAGGGGGATATGAACAAAACTGTCAAATAACCAATGAAGTTTTTCGAAAGATTCAAACATTTGAGCAAGAAGCACACTGCTAATATCACTGCATCACCCGTCATCGATAAGTCGATACCGGCCGTCATCAAATGTCCGACGAGCATGCATCGATTAGGTCCGGATGAACACACATCAGTAAATGTGGAGCTGTATCATACCGGAGAGATCATGCAAATCTACGGATTTTCGAGTTCATCAACTTGTGTTGACTTTACAGTTAACTTATGTCAACTGCTGAAACTCAAACCGAGTCACTACTGTCTTATGGTATGTGAGGGACACAACGATTCGTCGCTCAGCTCTTGGCAACGAGTTCCTCCAAGTAGCCAGTTGTCCATGTGGCTTGAAACAAGCTATGTAAAGAAAGGTGGTTTTGTTCGCCTTGTGCACAAATCCCACATAAACAATCTTTTGAAGCCAAATATGGTCCTTTGGCGTCCGCCTGATACACAAAAGATCGTGGATCCTGTGAGCGGCCGAGAGTTGTTGGAACAGGTATATCTTTGTCCTAATAATCGTGTTTTTTTCACATTGTTTCAACATTCCGGTTTTGTTTTTTGGCAGATTTTCGGAGATCACGTCGATTAGACGTTCTGTATTTTTGAGGAGAAGCTTCACAGAATTAAACCTTTGTAATATGTTCGGCCTACAGAATCTTGAAGTCAGTTGTAAGCCATATTATCATAATCAACAGCACAAAATCATCTTCATCACGGCCCTGCGACGTTAATCCGTTTCGTAGCTTTATTTTGGATAAAATAATAAAAGTGGATCAGGAAGGGATTTAATATCAGCCTGCCATAATCACTCCAAGGTATCTGCACCTCTAGACATTCAGTCAGACACTGGATAGAAACCGATGAGAAGGACGCCATTGACATCAATTAGAAGCCATATCTTGCAGTGTTTCCAGTCGTGCACAGGGTATCCCATCCCGGGAGGTGAGTCGCACCCACAGTTCCCAGACCTTTCGTAATTGATCGCTCAGTGGCTCTGATCTGAAGGTTCGTGTTTCGAACCCAACCTCTGTCTCTCGACTTCCTCCGTGTAGGCTTGGGCAACATGGCAGCATCCGAACCCTCGTGCTTTCTTCTGGCCTTCTGGCGATCTCGTTGTCTTCTGATAAACGAAAGGTCGACTACCTCTCCGCCTGCTCTGTGTTGGGCATGGAAAACATTCCTCTAGGCAAACAATTATTCGGAATGCACACTTCCTGACTACCACAGCGGACTAGATTATGTTCTGGGTTGGCAGAAACATTTACCAGAGATTCAGGCAGTGTCACTGTTCTGTCTGACACCTAGTGTTTGGGGGATGGCGCCGTTCCGCAGACCGGGTTTCTTGCAATGTGCAAGGACATGGCGACCTCGTTCCAGTATGAACAGACAACTCACGGTGCTACAGTTAGTGGTGGTCAGAAGACGGTTCTGATATGTTATTGTAACCTCGCACTCTACCAGCCCTTCAATAATTAATCGACTCGTCCATTCCTGAATCACACCTGGAAAGCAAAGACAATGCACGACCAGACTCGACAGGAGTGTTCCAAAATGAGCGGTAGTCAGTATTCGTACAGTGATATCGTAAGCTGACCATAGAATCCACTTGGGGCCCTAGCTACAGCTCAGCGTCGCGAAGTGCAGACGACACAACATATACGATTGGATATTTTTAGCTTGCTCTGCTCTATCCCAAGGTACATTGTTCGTGCGTTCTTCGCTACTGATTATGGCGACACGCCCACCAAAACGGTACTCATTTGGAGATATTTCGCTGATGCAATCAACGGTTGAGTCATCGGACCATGGGATGCTTGAATCATCGTTATTCCCAGATCCTGAGGTTCGGTAATCCACCAGTAAGCAGTCTTATCTCTTGTCCCAAATTAAGGCATCCTCCCAACTAATCTTTAATCACTCAAGCTTCAAATTGACTGTGACACCCTTCTTTATGGTCCACCACAATAGATCGACATCCGACTACCAGAACAGGAACATTTCACACAGAAACATATCGATCGATGACGAACTGTGTCTGAAGCTCGGGGCCAGGTTTTTTGTCTACATAGCTAGACTAACGATAAGTTTTTACTCACTCACACACACTTCGTACGTAATGTTAAATTCCGATCTGGCGAGATTATCGAATGTTGTGTTCTTTCTGTAATTAGTAATAATATAATAATTGTTTAGGTGTATGCTACGATTTCGATGTCCTGCTTGCATACCAGTATGCCTTTCTATCGGGTAATTTTATCAAAACCTGAAGTCTCAGATTCAGTCTTACTTCGTTAGAAGTAAGACTGCAAGGCGTGTGCAGCCAGAGCATAGTGTTAACCTGGCTACTGAGAGTCAATGTGCGGTCGCCTTCGAGGGTGGTCCAGGATGGGTCGAAATTCTGCAATGCGCGGAATTTCCTCTTCGTTCGGTTGTGAGTTTATTTGTTGTGACTAACTTTAGAGCCTTGTTTCCCTGGACCTTTTCACTATTTTTTTACCGATTGTGTTGCATATTGCTTTCGTTTCGCTTCCCAGATGGGTGCACGGATTTTGGTTTACCTTCCGGGTGAACGTAAGATGGTTATTCGTGCTCGCCCCAATGAGCAGATCGCTGAAGCAGTTCTTGAGGTATGTTTGTCATGAACGTTGGGGTTGCATCACTAACCAGTTTGACGTTTCGCTTTTCGCGTCAGCATGTTTTTGGCATAAAAAGCACATTTTCCGTAGATTGCGAGTCTACGAGAGGCCGAAAACGTGCCTACCATTTCTTATCGAACTTGGTCATGACCTTAAATGAGAGATAGTGCAAATTTACCTTTCCATTGTGTACTTCAAGTGTGTTCGACCGAAATCCACGTGTCCTGATAACTCCTACTCAGTTGAGTTTGATGCTATAACCCACAATTTTCTCCTGTTTCTTTTCTGTCAAACAGGTCTGTAACCAACGTAACTTACTACCCTTTGAATATCTCCTTCAAAATCCTCGAACGGGTGCTCCTCTCGATCCGTCACTCACGTTTACCGAACAGAAAGTCACTGAATTCGAGCTCAAACGTAAGTTTCCTGAATGATTTCCGGATAGAATAGTTGTCTTGTGTTTCTCACGCCTATCCATTCTTCTTAGACTAAAACATTCCAATGAGTTTAATTCTGGATGTGGCATACTTAGAATTCCATATTCGCTTTTCTTTTATCTTTTCATCCTAGGACTTTCTGCGCATACCTTAGTACCTCTGTTTTGTGTCATTTATGCGTACCATGATGAGGTCGAACTTTGTGACAGTAAGTCCTCCGTAGCGAACTGACCAGGACGATTCGATCGGTACAGGGAAATGAACAGAAAGTTCAATGTCAACACAGCGTAGTAGAATAAGGTGTTATGATCCTATATAAATGGTACCGTGGACAACTTTTTGTCATCCCCGGTTTCCCATTGTTAACGACTCGATCATACTAGAGGAACACTGGATGTAAGGATAGTTGACTGGAAGAACCTCACCAGTGTTCCTCTAGTGTCCACAGTAGTGTGTGGTTTATCAGGGATAACCCTCATTCATCAAGAAGTGTTCAAACAAAACAGTGGAGACATTATGGCGCGGGTGTACTAACGCTTCGTGCGAGGCATGACGCTGCCACATATCCAGTTTATATCCAAAACGTGATAATAGTCTCAAACGTCTTTTTACTAATCTGTGTCGGTCACCTTTTGTTTCTCACCAGGGCTAGGTTTAGTCGCGTTGTAATTCGTCATATTTGGTTTCCTTGGCCGAAGTGGTTAGAGCGCGGATTACTAACCTGAAGGTCCGCGGTTCGAATCCGACCTCCGCCACTCGACTTCCCCTGTCTAGGCTTGGGCAACCTGGCAGTATCCCAGCCCTCGTGCTTCCTTCGGGTGGCATGGCAGCTAGGCACCGGAAGGGTGCTACAGCTGAACGATTTTCCGTTAGCTGCGACCCCAGGTGTGTGGTACACCCAGCTTTCCTCGTAGTTTCAATAAGATAACTGTGCTTCCTGTCGCAGTGTAATTCTTGTCATTACTGAATTGTAGTGGAACTCTAGGAAAGCCCGTTCATTTTCCCCCAAAAAACTTGAGATTCTCGTTGACCACACCGTGTTGCTTCCAACCCGCAGCATGTACTCCCGGGTCATCCAACCTCAAGTCACTGAATACTGCTCATCTCCAGTCAAGTGATCAGGCGAACCAAGAAGCCAACCTCCCACAGCCGGGCCCTAATATCTTACCCGTCAGTCACAAACGTTTGCGGCATCCAGCGGAGTCACGAATTTACGCGAACATTCAACGTCCCCATACTATGTGTATTAACTATTGCAACCAGTTGGTAGGTTCCGTTTCCTTATTTGTTTGATCTAATTTATTCAACCAGATTGTTTGTTGTCCAAGCAGGCAAACAATATCTTTCATTGCAAAGACGGGCCTTCATTTTTAAGTTCAGCACGCTTTTTCCCATACTCATTTTTCCACGATGGCTTTCAGTTTGTAGGTCTTCCCCGAAAACACATGCATCTCATAAGGAATGATTCCTAACTAGTCTGTTAGTGCAAACTATTGTTTTGACGTATGCAAGACCGTCGTATCTTTGTGTTGTCTTTGGTTTTCCCCATCCCTAATGCAGTCAGAGCCGGTCTCGGAGTACGCAACCATAGACCGACCCATGTCCACAATTTCTTCCAAATCCCGGAAGAAGCGAATGGCTCCAGCCCCACCTCCACCCGCAGCCCCACCACCACCACCACCACCGCAGGTGTTTAACAGACCTCCACTGACTGAAGTGCCACACCGGCAACAACATCAGCAGAAGGAGCCGCATACTCGTTCAGCGCTCACAATATGTAGTCCGGATACTTGTACTCTGTCTTCCACAGAATCTGCGCGTGCAAAATATCGACGCCGATCGGCTTCCATGAAGGACAGTCCCTATTTGTCTCGAAGTGTCTACTATTCCGCAAGACCACAACAGAACCAAAGCGAACAAAGCGCCAATCTCAGGTCGCCAAGTAAGATCTTATTTTTGTAGCGGTGGATTAGTGTGCCGTTTGTATTATGCATACAACGATACAATTTTGTGGTCATTCCTCTCCTTACACGTATTTTCCGTTGCCTTCACGCAAGCTTGTCTGTCTGGTTCAGTATTTGTGGATGGGTTGTTTTTCATAGACTTATTTCCAACACGGGGTTACTATCACTGATGGTGTTTATCGTTGTAATCGTTTTAGTAGTAGTAATAGTAGTGGTCTGTGGGCGCTGCGCATCAGACAAACTCCTGCGGATTATCCGTTTCTTCTTCTCAATGGACGTCGGCTTCATCGAAGAGATTTGCTGTACTTATCAACCGAAGAATAAAAGTACAGGGAAGTATTCGGGTAGAAGACAACATCAGGATCGCAGTTGATTTCAGTTCGTGTCTGTATGTTTCTATATCCAGTGTACTAATGGCCAAATCCTAGACAACTCGTTTCAGCTGTTGTTCTTCAATCGTCTGTCCTTGGTCGCTTTTCGTTTGTCGGCAATTGGACCATGTTCGGACCGTTCGTGGCCGAGAAACTCAATTTAGTTGAACAACGTCCCCGTTTCTCTGAGTTGCTTACTAGGCTTGTCCGTTTGTTAACACCGGAGTAACACCGCAACTTGCTCCATCGAGTGTATATTCTTACGTCTGCTATTAATTTGAATATTTCTTGAGTCGCTTGTCGCAGTGTGTCAACGTTGAGCTACTAACAATGGGAAAATGACGTAGGATCGGTGTAAGCAGGTTTCGAATGGCAAAATAGAAAGTAAGAGGTGAAGGGATTAAGAGGACTTGAAAAGAGAAAAATCAATAGTTTTTGTTAGTTTAATCCATAAGCCCACGTGGTGTGCTTAAAATTACCCACTCTAGTCTGCTATCGTAAAATTCAGTCTTCTGATTCTGTCGGTTTCATCGTGTGGTCTTTCGCTTTTTTTTGTAGATACTTCCTGGTACTCTGAGAGCTTCCTTCCTCACTCCGCTCGTGCCTTCGAACCGAAATGTGAAGAAAATCCACCCACACCTGCAGTCTCCGCCGTCTCATTGCCACTATCAGTTACCACTCGTTTGGGTTATCCGCCTGAGGCAGGATCCATGGAGCCTGTTGCAGTGTGTGAAATCTTACCTGAATCCCTCTCAGAAGCGGACGTTGTCGAGGATAGCACAGACAATATTTTCCCAGATAGGGATGAACCGCGTCAAGTGAGCTTCCATATGGTAGAACCTTCGCGTTAGTAATTACCTACGCACTTTTACATCCCATTGTCAATATCCTGTACTCATTACCCCTTTCCCCACTGATAAGAACTTCCCCGGCCTTCATTCATTCTACGAAATGATGAGATCCCATTCGGGATGCTTGATTATCAGCCTTATTCTACATCAGTATACTGTGATCCGGGCACCATGATCGACATGGACGCATTCCGTCGGTGATGAAGAACATTTGGATAAAAGAGAGAAGTGCTCGTGTACACAGTGGTCCAGCGTGATCAAATCCGCCAGAAACTGCGAGTTATTTCTGAGTTGGCTGAGGCTTAGCTCATCCCTCCTTACATACTAGCCGAAAGGTTTCTTCAACCGTTTCATACGACATCTTCGTAAGATTTGACGTTCTGTTCTACTTTTTTTCTAAGGTGTTTCAGTTCGGATATCAGTAAACCGCCCTAACTGAACAGTGTGCTTCATCGACATACAGGACGGTGTACGTCAGTTGTAGGGTGTGCCAGAACACAAAGCAAACAAGCCAAGGTGGACTGACTAGACAGATACATTTCTCCATCTTATTTCCGCTCAATCCGAAACGACGATTGCGAGCAAAGCAATTCTACAGAGGGAACTGGAATTCCCCACAAATATATTGTTAAAGGGGGTGTGCAGATGGTTTTCTAGAGTGACGCGTGAAACCCAAGCCCCGAAAACAACAGTTTAGGAAGGCTCATCTGCGTTTCAACAGTAATTTAACCGGAAAAACCTTTGAACGAATCTCCTTTGCGGCTCGCTTACATTTATTGATTCTAAACTGCCCACTGGTCAGATTGGTATGCTTTCATCAGTTTCTGCTTTGGAGCCAGCTTTACCAGTCGAACAATGGGGCGGTTATCCAAACGGATTTCTAAATATCTGCCAACTAGCTTTCAAGGCGTTTGAAGTTAGCGGAGGACGTCACGTGACTACCGTCACAGCCCTTATACTTGCCTATGAGGGACTGGAGTGTCCGCTGCATGCTGTCGGAAAAACCATCCGACAATCGCGAAACCACTACTCTACGAAATCACTAATTGGATCTCTACACTCAAAAGTGATTGGTACAAGCACAATCGCTCATGCACGCGGTCAGCAAGTTAGGTGATTGGGTCATGTTGACCTGTTGACCTTTGACCGCCGGATGTTATCTCGACCGAGATTGTACTGGGTTTTATCGATTTTATTTCGGTGAGTGTTTATGCCCACATCTCGTGGAAAGATGTCAATCTGTGTTGTCCTGACTAGGGACTTTCAGACCATGAATTGTACGGTCAACTACGTGTCCAATGACTTGCTTAAATAGGGGAACGACTGATACTAGGCTGGGACGAACAGGGCTCTTCTTATCTGAGGACAGCGGTTAGCAGAGCGTGTTCGCAGTTCGTCCCACTCGTGTACCCCGGACAAGCATTTTTCAACTTTTTTCTCTGTTCAAAGCGCTTGGCTGGAAACATTGCAAGAACTGGCGGCTGGTCGATTTCAGTGGGGTTCGTGCTGTCAGTTTGTTTCTAGATTGTCTGATTGAGCGTTTGTAGCTGTAGGCATCTCAGAATGCTTGATGTCTGCCAGCACCAGGTTCCTTCCTCATCCATTCTTTTTGCTTCATTTTAATGCTTCAGGAATAATTGAATTATCTTTGTGTTTGTACGGCAGGGAAACATCAGTATCACCGTTGATGTTGCTTTCTCTGATGATGACTGTTAATGATTAATTTAAAGGTTGATGTGCAGTGGATGTCGAAATTGACGGATCTTCTACATGTGTATCTGATCGAACCTCCTACATAGCTATCTAAGTGGTTCCGTTCAGTTGGCTGTCTGACATCCGTCCTGACGTTGTTCTTCTTGAGTTGTATCTTTTGTCCCCGTTAGTGAGAAGTTCTCGGCCAATCCGCTCTGACCAAACATTTGACCATAACTCGTCCATAGGTCATCTGCTGCTCAAAGACCGCGCCGCACACCTTGCAGCCATCGGACAAGCTAAATGGGTTACATCGATTGTGCCATTGTGTTGCGTGGATAGGTTCAGGTAAAACAAATACTTGTAATCGCGCCCTGCTGTCAAGGAGTTGTGGGAAACATTTGTCCCAACCTGGTGAGGATTTCCATTCTATGTTGTGACGACCGCTACCAGGTCTATCCAGAATATTTTGTAGCCATTCGGTGGATGAAGGACTAGTGAGCGAACCCCTCGGGATTGTTGTTTATATTTTCACGTCGGGTTCGGACGCACCAGTTTAGTACGAACCGAGTTCTTTCTTATTGGTCGGTTTGATATAGGCTGTCACCCCTGTGGACTTTCGACCGGAGGACGGTTGTAGTAAACATTGAGGTTTGGTTCACCTATCTTGAGGGAGGAAATTCCCTCTTTCGAGCATTATTAACCGCTGATTGAACTCCTGTGGGTCCGTGCTTCTCTCCTTACTCATATCTATTAGAGCCCGTTGTGTTCTTCGTAACCTTCTAGAGATCTTGTGGTTGTCCATCCGTTGATGGTTTCGTTCATGTCGGTTGGTACTCTGACTCGCATTTCGTGCTACTTGAGAGCGAACCTCACCAGGGTGTCGCCTTCCGACATTATTCGCTTGTCGCCTCGCACATGCCTATCATTTGGTTCGTATTAAAAGGACCTGGATGTTTAAGTGTCTGATATTTGACGTTTTTGACGATCGCCACAACCTACCTGTCACTAATACTGACGACGGCATCCATGGGCGGATCATGAATATCTGACAAGGTATCCTGCAAAAAAAGGAGATAAAGTTTAACGATACCATAGTCAAATGCACCGCTCCGGTTGTGAGCTTCTGCTCTGGTAGTCCGGTTCATTCATGCTATAACGTGAATGTGACAGAACATGAAATGGTACGACGTGGACTGAATTCAAACAGGATCTTATAAGAATCCAATCTGATCCTTGAAGTTCAGCTGTAGCACCCCTTCGCTGCCTAACTGAAATGCCACCCGAAGATTGCACGAGGGCTGGGATACTGCCAGGTTGCTCTAGCCTAGACAGGGGAAGTTGAGAGGCAGAGTTCGGATTCGAACCACGGACCTTCCGGTCAGTAAATTCGCGCTCCAACCACTTGGGCCATCTCACCCATTTAAAGACCTACGTTCTTTAAAACAATCGGACTGCGTACGAGCAGTTGGATTGATTTACCAATCGTATCTACTAGCTGTGCATGGTCCTGGTTTTCAGCCATGTTCTACTCCCCTCCACTGTCTTCGTTTCATTAAAGAATGACCCGTTCGGCTTTTACTTCTCAGCGCAAACCCGTGAATTGGGAGAACCAATCGCCTCAACGTTTTAGCACCACTTTCTTACTTTCCGTAGCTGACGAATGTGCCTGCCTAGCAAGTGAACTGGTTATGTTCTCTGGGTCAATTTCGAAGCGCGGCGTTTCATTCCAGGGAACCATTGGATGCACTTTGTGCGGGCAATGTGTTTCGGTGCAGATCACTTCTTCCTGCATAACGGCAAAGAAACAACACAGGACCAATCACTCGTCCCACAAGTTTCGAAATATTTTTAGATTGGTTTTGCGTCGCACGCGAATCTCCTTTGTGTTTGGTTTTTGATCCCATCATTGTTATATCCCCTCAAAGGTTTTTAGAACTTCCGTTGTTGGGATAGTTAGGTTTTTCTGAGTAGTCTCCAGGGGTCTATCCCAAACAACGAAAAGAGGCTCCTTTTCGAATGCTGACAGTGCTGAACCTGCTGTTTATGCTTACTATGCTTCTGAGATAGCTTCATCCATTCCCAAATTCGTAGGTCACATCAAGAGACTATATGTTGGCTTCGCACCGTATTATGGTAGCAGCGGTCTGGATTATCCTTCAAAGAGCAAAAGGTGCGGTTGGTTGCAGGCTAATTGTGTGTCACAGAAAGAACTTGGAAATGGGACGTATATCGATTCATGGAAATCACCGCAGCGATGTACCATGACGTAGTCCTGTGCTGCACCTCAACAGTTAATGACTATCGGGAGCAGTTCATCTGGGGCGGTGCGAAACCTCGAGACGACTCTGACGACCACTCAGAACATGACGCCCAGCGGGTTTATGCTCCACGCTATAGTGGGGGTAACGGTGCACTCCGTTCCGTCACAGTTAGCCTCTGACCCGGCGGATAGCTTTCTCACCATAGTTAGAGCTCTGTTCAGTCAGGGCGTGGCAAGTGGCATCCTTGCTTTTTGCCTTATAAATTTCCCGCTTACAAACCCTCATCAATACAGTATGATCCAGGTGAAGGGGCTTGTTCCACGTGCATTCTGTTACAGCAGAAGCGTAGCACACAGATGCTTGGGACCCGTAGTTATCGAACCGGTTATAATAATCATTAACGCCAACGTTGGCATTGGTAATTCTGATCAGAAAAGTGTGATGTTGGTCTGAATCTCCCGTTTGTGATAATACTATCTAGGACAATACGCTCACTTAGAGCCTGGTTTGACCAACTTACGTCGTCTGGTGAGTTACTTTTGAGGTTTTTCACTTCAATAGTCAAGGAAACCTGGAAGTATTTCGGCCCTCTGGTTTTGGGTGGCATAGTAGCCGGACTCCGGAAGTGTGCTGTAGACGAATTACTTTCTTGTGTTGCGAAGAAGCCCCGTGCCCTTAAAGTCGAACGATTCTATTTCCAGTAGTCTGCGGGAGAAAGACTCAAAGATAAGGTGACCAGAACAGCTATGTGACATATACTTAAGTACTGCAAACGCATGATCAAGTTAGGCGTTTAACTTCGGTGGATTAGAAGAAAAGGGATTTATTTGGATTAGCTTATTCCCTTGTGTACAGTTTGCCTGAAGGCTAACAGTTTTATTGCGCCAATCAGCTTGCCCTCAATGCACCAACTGGGTACGAAAAAAATGCCACAGTAGCCATACATATTCCAATCCCGATTAATTTAGGCATAACTTGGCACGTGATATGAATGCCAAACTCTGACGACTA